ACTATTCGCTCGATCGAAAAAAAAAAAAAGTACAATGATGCAGAAGTATCGAGAAACAATATAGACAATATAGGCAATAATTGTGACAGTATCGTAAAAAAAAAAAAAAAGAAAAAAAAAAAAAAAAAAAAAAAAGAAACTCGTTACATATCATTTCTAGAAATAATTCTAGAGACTATGATTAGAATTTTTAATGTTTTTATGCGGCACACAAGAAATTAGTTCCTCAGTTAGTTCTTCTCTTTTTTTATTTTTGTAATATGCAAATATCGGTGAACGTAATAACGTCAATTGGTTGTCTTAGTGATAGTAACAGTAAGAAAACCAGTTATCCTAGATCAAAGTTCTTTAGGATAAAATCAAAGGTTTCAATATATGAACTTATTTACTGTACGAAGAATTTAAAAAGGAGAATGTTGTGATTTATAGTATCTTTTTTATCTTTTATATATGTATATATATATATATATATATATATATATATATACACATATCTTGCTTAATAGAAAATAATAATTAGAATGACTTTAGTTTCATGTTTCATAATTTTTTTCTTTTTTTTTTCTTTTATAGAAAGAAAATACTTTTTTTGAACTTATTATCTCTTACGTTTCAGAATTCAGCCCGTCGAACACAGACGCTCCTAGAAATCTTCAAACCCTTTTTTCGAGGTGTCTTCGCTATAAAAGGTTTACCATCGGATAATCCACAATAATGAAATTATTCATTAAACACATTGACATATCGTAGAATCCTGAAAAAAAAAGATTCAAGATTCATAATCGATTTTCCATCTCTAAGTGATTTAGTCGATTTGATTACTACAATTCTTTTTATCGATCCTAATATTATCTATCATATCGATTCAATTTTCTTTTTTTTAATTTTATTACATCATACTGATAGGAATATATTTGCAATGGAATTTTTACTATCGTAAAAATCGTTTTTAGAAAGAGAAAAGGTGAAAAAAAAAATGAACAGGAATAATATTATAATAATATTATAATATATATATATATATATATATATATATATATGTATATATATATATATATATGTGTGTGGTGCAAACAGTAAAACAGTAAGCTTCCTAGAAAGATGCCATAAAGAGTTGAACGAATGAGGATACAATATTTTTTTATTGTTATTGTTGTTATAATAAACGATTTTATAATAGAGAAGTCACTAACGATCGTTGAAATCTTTTATTACTGAATACATACATATACATATACATATACATATACATAAATAGATGAGAAATCCGTGAATAAAAGATAATGGCTTCTCTCAAATAAAATTGATTTATAATAATGTAGGAAGTACCAAAAAGTATAGTACGAGTTATAGTATTGTTTAATTTTTTTTGTTTATATATATATATATATATACTTTAGAAATAGAATCGAATAAGGTCATCATTTTTCGACCAATAGTTTTTTAAGGATTTAACGCTTAACTATCATAAACGATACTATGTATGAATATAAATGATATGTAGGACTGTTACGTAAGATCATAGGTTAATCATTTAAAAGGTGAGTTATATATTACTTTCCTTTTCGCATGATCACGTAACGCGGTGAACACGCATACGAAAATTTCTTGCATGTCCAGATTCGATCTGACAATAATACCTTTCGGATATTAAAATCGTATCGAGACATCTAATAAAGACAACTTGAATTGTCGGTTCTTACTATAATAAAATAGTACGTACGTTATTTTCATTTGTATTTTGAGCAAAGATAAGATGAAAAAAAAAAAGATGATATTTTATTTTGTAAATAAAATAAAATCCAATCGCAAACCTCGCAATTATTTTCATTTTTCGTTTCACTTTCCTCGTTATATGAATATGTTTGTTATATCCGGTGAAAGCTTCTCTCTCTCTCTCTCTTTCTCTCTCTCTTTCTCTCTCTCTTTTGCTTTCGATTATTTTAAGAGAGAAAAAGAAAGAAAGAAGAAAGATTCGGAGAAAATCCGAACATTATCGCGGAAAGTATTAAGAATGCGTATATAAAACTTCCGGCTACCGGAAAGGACTCCGTAGAATTTATGAGACAGTCATCTCAGTTATTTCGAGATAATCGATAATTTCATGCTTGCGGGGAATTCACGTAACGGGTGATGAAAGAATTGAGAAGAAACGCGAATAACGTTTTATTAAAAAAACTGCGTGTGTGCTAAATGAAGTAATAAAATTTTGTAGAAATTGATCGACCTAACCGATCGACAATTTCCAGTTTATATATATATATATATATATATATATATATATATATATACACTTGAAAATACGCAATAAATTAAGTAGGACATTAACAACCAGTTTTTCATTCTTTTTTTTTCCCTTTCCATTTCTTTCTCTTACAATATTCCACATATATAAATTTTATAAGTAAATGCAAAATTCCATGGTATTATGTAGTATCATTAATTTTCTTTTTTTGTTTCGAAGAAAAAAGAAAAATCAAGAAAAATTTTTTAATGATATCACTCGATTAATCTTGATATTAATAAATTATCACGTAGATTTAAACAATTGAATGAATTAGAAACTCTCTCTCTCTCTCTCTCTTGTTTTCCTCTTTATCGTTTGCATTTTGAAAGAAAGAAAGGAAGAAAAAAACAAACAAACAGAAAGAAAACAAATAAGAAATCAAAAAATGTACGGTTTTTTTCTTTTCTCGTGAATGATTTTTTCTTTTTGACAATGTTATATACATATGTATAAGAGATCGTCGTGTATTAGAAAAAAAAATATAAATAACAGCGAAATAGAACGACGAAAGAAACGTTACGAAACATTAGATCTTTTACCTTGAAGAAGTGAATGTAAATGGAAAAAACAATTATGCACTTTGACACTGCACTTACCTATTTATCTACGTGATACATATATATAAATATATATATACATATACGTATCTATTTCACATATATATATTTACTCATATATTTATGTGTTAATAACGACGTTTCTTTTTGATCATTTTATCTGTATATTTTTCTTTCTCTTTATCCTTTTTTCTTTTTCTTTTTAATCAATGAAGAATCAATAAGAATTGACTTCGTAAATAATAGAGAATTTAATGTATTTCACAAAAGTAGGAATTCAAGTCGTATCCTCGACTTATTAATGGAATCACGTATTTCAGTTTATTTTTTTTTCTTTTTTTTTTTTTCAGTTTTCTGTAATTACATATACAAGTATATTTAAAACCTTATCGATAAGAATGTCTTCTCGTAGAATTACATCGATCAAGTGTAAACATTATCATTGTATATGCTAGGCGTGGTTCTGGTTCGATGTACTTTGAAAAATAACACCTTTGAATTACTTTCCTACGTACTTATCTGTCGTAAGGATTATCATACTTCAGGCTGATATATTCATCATCGAAATGACATATTCATATCGTAATATAAGCTTTCTTTTTTCTCTTTATTTTTTTTTTTTCTTTCTCTTTTTCTACAGTCAGCATTAATAGAATCCTTTTTGCGTAATTCAAGATCCTAAATAAATTCTTACAAAATTTAAATATTATGTAAAACGAGTAATGCAATCGAAGACCATTAACAAATCTTTTTTTCATTTTTTTTTTTTTTTGCTTCTTTCCTATAAAATTTGTGAACAAATTAATGATGATAATTTCATAATTTTCCACGATTTATAACATATTCAAGCGAGTTATTCAATAGAATGAAATATTTACGTGTTATTACGACATGGAAAGATGACATATGGATGGTATGGCGGAGCAAAAAAAAACTAACAAAGGTTAGTCCAATAAAGAATTTAAGTGGATTTGTTCGGTTCAAACACGAAAGACAAAGATATTTCACTTCTTAAAAATGTGGATGACCTTCGTAGCTGATACGAAACACATTGAAAACTCAGAGAGAGAGACTCATCTCGTTAGTGTCGTTTCTACCGGCCGACAAGATGCACTCTGTCTTATTTTCGCGCTCGATTCATTCCACAGATTATTAGAAATTTTTTCAAACGAAACAAATTCGAAATCGATCCGTCGACTACGTAACAAATTAATTACTTTCTGTGTTTGTAAAAGTAAATTCGATATTTTTGTGGAAAAAAATTTCAAAGGTAAGACTAGGAACGAACTTATTTTTCAATCAATTAATAAGATTTTCTATGTTGCATTGAATTAATCGTTTGTTCGTTGTTGTCACTTTTCTTTTCTTTGGTTTTTTCTTTTTTGGTTACGTTAAAAAAAAAAAAAATAAAAATAAAAAAGAATAAAAGAAATAAGAACTTTCAACGAGATTCGAACGAACGATTTCAATTTCAAAACGTACGGAGATAAATTTCATTTAATACGAAAACGAAGGAAATAATTTATGAGAATTTGATAAATATTTAAAAGTCAGATTCGTTGACGTCATTTCGGTCATTCGCGAATTATGAAGAAAAGAAGAGACAACGAGAAATTTCATAACTACGAGTTTGTTATATCTTCGTTATGTAAAACACGTCGTTCTATTCGTTCTTTATTTTTTTCTTTTTTCTTTTCTTTTTTTTTCTTTCTTTCATTTTTACTAAGTTCGGACCGACATACTTGCCAGATGTATTTGCATAACATTAACGAACGTTCACTTAATGTTTAGTTACGTCGTTTCGCATTAAATTTAATTATTTCTTTCTTTTCTTTTTTCTTGAAATTAATTGTTGTCCCTTATTTCGAACTTTGATAAATCTCATTATGTTCGATTTCAAATCGTTCTCGAACGAACAAACGAAAAAAAAAGGATAAGAAATGTATAATTAACTTGTTCTTATATTTGATGTATGTCACTTACGTAGCAATCAGACAAGAAATATATATATATATATATATATATATATATATATATATATATATAAATTGTACATAAATGCTATTTACTTTTCTTTCTTGTTCTTTTTCTTTCTTCCCCCTTTTTTATGACATACTACGGTGAGATATTTCGAGATAAGCAAGTATGATCAGTTCTCTTCGAGGATCGAGAGAAATGTCTTTCTGCGTAATCCTTCCGTAAAGAATAATTTTCTACGAACGATTCTTTTGTTTACGGTGAGCATAAAAATTTTCCTTTCAATTATTTCAATTATTTCATGCTTATTATCGTCATCTCGTTATATCGTTAAATTGACATAAAAGAAAATTTTACGTTGACGGTTTGATAAGGAATTACACAAATCCTTAAAACGTGAATATTTATAAAATACGAATTTACGTAATGCTTTTTGTTTTGTTAATTAAGTAGTAGAAAATTAACTGTAAAATAGAGAAAAGGAAAACTTTAAATTCAAAATAATCGATCATTTCGATCGTTTCGATTAGAATCGATAGATTCTTAAGTTCAAATTGTAAGGTCAATATCCTTCCAAAAATTATATTTCATAATAATCTAAAAACAGGTTTTACTGGTTAGAATAGTGACGTAAAACGACCACAGCCTGAGGCAACTATTTCAGAGCTGAGTATTCGTTTCATTTAAAGCATTCTTTAAAAAGACTTTTAAATCATCATTTAAAGAATAAGAAAAGAAGATTTATTTTTCGAAGAATCTTATCAAAGAAAAAAAAAAAGAGAGAGAGAGGGAGAGAGAAAGTTATGTATATATGTGATTACCGAACTAATTATAATAGTGAAACGTTCGTTAATTCCGTAATAGAGAAACTTTTATCTATACGGTTTGTGCACGCGAGTGGAAATATTTCGAGATTTGTAATCATCCAATTGTTATTTTATTTGAGATATTAAAAATTATATTAACAAAGCACATAATCGTTAAACTATATTCAAATAAGGCATTACTATTTTTCTTTTTTTTCTTTATTTTTTTTTTTTTTTTTTTTTTTTTGTAATATATACGTAAGTATAAAAGATATCGTTAAAATCAATAATAAATAAAGCGATTTGAATGAATAAATTATTTTACGATTTTAATAAGCTGACTCACATGGAAAATCACATTTTAATTTCGATGAGTCTCGAAACTAATTAACGATGAAGTAAGAACGAGGGCGTTTAAATATATAATACTAAGTAAGAAATGGTGTTACGTTTATACGTGAAAACACGTGGTCTTGCGAGCGATCGAGAGTGAAAGTAAAAGATGGCCGGTTAAGTGGCGAGTTAAGATCCACGTGGTCGTTTGATTCCGCCAGTTTCACGAAAGCAAGGACGTTCGAGTACCGTGCGATCCATCGACGATGTTGAACGAACGAATTACTCGATGATCGTTGATCGTAATGATTATCAAAAAGGAAAGTGTTTCTCTTTAAAAAAAAAAAAAAAAAAAAAAGAAAAAAAAAGAAAATTAGAAACTACGATACATACGTTTATCGACAATACACTATCACAATAGTGTTATTAATTTCATTACGGTAGATTGATCTATTGATCGATCGAAATATCGATATTAATCGTGTGTGTGTGTGTGTGTGTGTGCGTGTGTATGTGTGAGTGTGTCTACGCGTGTATGTGTTCGCATAAGTGTATGCTATAAGAAAAATAAATTACACGTAACTCGACAAACGATTCTCTCGTGATATTGAAAAATATAATGAAAGGAAATGAAGAGATAAAATCATCCTCGAATTAGTTCAATAACCGTGCGTATTTTTCTAATCGAACGAAATCTTTCTACTATGATGTTCCACGTAAAGGAAATTACGTTAGAAAGTCTCGTGAACATTCGCTATTACGAATCTACGATTCTTGATTTGTAATGCTTCATCTAAGATGTCGTTGCACGCATGTCATTTCACATAGAAACTTTTCTTTCTGTACGATAAATAATTATACAAAACAAAAATAACTTACGTTTCGTTCTTTTTTTTTTTCACGACAACGTAAATAAATGTTAAATTACAATTTATGAGGAATATTTACTAAAATAAATAGTCACTTGCTTTTACACAAGATATTTTTAATGATACAGGAAGTTAGATAATGAAAATTGCTGATGTTTGTTGTTTTGCATTTTAATAATATTTAAATGTTTCCTACATGAATACTATTTTTAACAGATAATAGTTGAAATTATCGGTTAAATGTGATATCGTTTACATATACGATTACATTGAATCCAAATGTCGATCGAAATTCATTTAAATTTGTCAAATTCAAAAATGATTTCAAATTAAAATGAACACTCGAATAATATGTTTTGTTTTACGTTACAAACATATATATATATATATATATATATATACACACATATATAAATTAATTAATCTTATTAAAATAAATTAACCTTGAAATGTTTACAGTTATAAACATATGCGATAATATATATTATCTTCGAGTGTAACAAAATTGTTCTTCCTTTTATTTTTTTTTTTTTTTTTATTTTTTTTTCATTCAAAATAAATCTTTCGCAATGAATACGGCATAGTTTGAAATTGCGAATGAAATGAATTTTTTTTTTTTTAAATAAATAAAGATATATTAGTCATATATAGAAATAGGACATCTAATAACAATATATTGAAGTTTCTAAATGCTCGTACGTGATTCTCAAAGTGATACGAATTTTCGAAACATTTTCGTCACACGGGCCGATAATCGATTTCTCATCGATTCATTTCGTAATTCTCGAAATATATCCTGAAATCAAATTCGAATCACGCCTTTGACATAAGACACGTCACGTAGAATCTCTAAAGCATAATGAATCGTTCGATAAAGCTCGAAACACGACCTCCGTTAAAAGAAAACTCGATATACCGTTCGTTCATTGAACAGTAACATTTCGAACGTTTAAGAAAGTCGTCGTCCTTCTTTACAAACGAACTTTTTTCTCTTTTTTTTATAACAACAAGTTATCATTGAAAAGAAAAGATCCTTTCGCATAATTAACACGTAAGAATAATAATCAACGAAAATCTTAATTGATTGTTTATTAACGATTCATATTTAGAAAAAGTAAAAGGACGAAAGATAAAGGTACGTGAAGATAAAAAAAAAAAAAAAAAAAAAAAGAAATAAAGAAAATTTTCGAACGAAATAAAGATTTTTCGTTTCACGAATTCTTAAAGACGTAGAAAAAGAGAAGGAAGAAGAAGAAGAAGAAGAAGAAAAAAGAAAAGAAGAAGAAGAAGAAGAAGAAGAGGAAGAGGAGCCTGAAAGAGAAGGAAGAAGAAAAAAAGCTTTCATTAAATTCCTGACTAAATTAAAAAAAAAAAAAGAAAAAAAAAAAAAGAAAGAAAACCAGAACGAAAAAAAGAATACAAAGAAGATAAAACGTAACTTTTCATGATCATAAAACGAGAGAAGATCTTTCTAAAAAAAAAATTTGTTATTCCTTTGGGACTTCTTCGTGGAAAACTTAGAACGTGTTTTACGTGAGAAGAATGGGATATTTTAATTCGAGGGAGAGTTAAACGTTATCTCGAGTCTTCTGTCGTTCATTGAATCGCACGGGTTTCTTTATTCCCCACTAACTATATTTCTTCGGTAAAACCTTCCTCCATGAGTCGTATCGAGTTTACATAATTCTTCGGATCTTTCTTCTTTATTCATCCTTCGTGACTCTCACTTTGGATCGTAGCCGAACTTTTACGATCTTTCGATACGACTTTACTTTCGACATATTATATTGTCAAGAAATAAACAAAAGAAGAATTATGTTAATAAAAATAACGTTACAATTATAATAAAAATAAATCATAACTTTTTTTAGATGTCTTCGTTGTTATTTCATCATTGGATTGCCGGTTGGCTATTGTTGGCTTTCTTTGGATCAAAAATGTCTGACTGTCAAAATTTATACTTGATGCCATATGGAACTTATTATGAGGATTATAGAATTGAATCAAACGATCGTGTCAAATACGACGTACCGGAAACATATTATCAATACTCACCTCCTGTAGATTCAGATCTCGAAAATAATATTTTAAGAAAGAATCATTTGAATTTCTCGCCATCGAGCTCATCGAACTATGATTACGTCGCTCCATCACAGGATATTCTTGATAAAAAACGTCGTCCCGATAAGAACGATGAGGATAATGTTTGGTTGGATGAAGAAATTCTTGAAAAAATGAATATGCTCGAGAGAATGCTGTCGGACGAATCAAACGAGAAGGATTTCGAGACGAAAAATTCTATCAATGATAAAATCATTTCGGAATCTATCATGCCGGAAGAAACGAAGAGGGTCGTCAGGCAAGTTCGTAAACAGAGGCCAGGATTTTTTTGGACCCTTGCAAAGATCGCATTTGAGGTAAAATTAAAAGAAAAAAAAAAAAAAAAAAAAAAAAAAGAAAAGAAAAAATAAGTAGAAGAAAAAAAAATTGGTAAATAAATAAATCAATAAAGATTTTAAAAAATTTTAATCTTTACAAATATTCATCGATAATATATATAACAAACATATTTTTGATATAACATTGTTTAACATTGTCGTGAAAATGTTTCTCGTTTTATATGCAATAACATGACACAGGTGTATATCCGGTTGCCATTTGTCAGGCACTGTTTTGAATTTGTTTTTTTTTTTACGAACATATTTTTCAGACATTCAACGACACTCAATCGGCGATTAAACAAATTAGTTCAATAATTAGTAATAGTATTGGACCAGATACAACAACTAGTAAATCAATGATCAGTGATTCGTTGATGGAATCAAGTAAAACGTCGATGATAAACGAACGAAATGAGACCACAATGACGACAGAAGCTACGATGACGAACATGAAGCAAACTCCATTACTTACAAGGAGCGAACTTCAATCATTAATTACCAGAAACATCAAAGGATTAATTCGATTATTTAACATCGAATGGCAGGATGCCCTTAAAGTAAGATCTATATAATTTGTAGTTTTTTATATAGCATATTTTTCTTTTCCTTTTTTTTTAAGAATATTTCTAATCGAACATTTCAAACTTCATTTTTTCTAGCAATCGGATGTTAATGTGAATGAATTTAGAAAAGACCTTGGTAAGCAAGTAGGAACGTACTTGCAAGATAATCCCAATGCCTATTGAAAACGGATCTGCTGGGAATTAGTGTATATATATATGTGTGTGTATGTATGTGTGTATGCGTGTGTGTGTATGCATGTGTTTGCGCGCGCACGTGCAAAATAGAACGGATTTCTCTTAGACGTAAAATAACGTCATAATTTAATTATAATTATTGAACGATGAAACAGCCAAAGATCGGTTATAGAAAAAAAGAAACAAGTTAATTACACATTACGACACGTGTGATATGTCACAACTTAAATGTCGTCACCACAATGTAATATAATTTTAGATACTTAACAATTTTCAATAATATCGAAATGTAATAACAATTGTACAAACTTTATGAGCATTTCATTTAGTAATAAATTGTGTCACAAATTATATCGTAAAAAAAAATCTACGAACATCGAAAATTATAATATATTAGGTTAAGGAAAAAGAAATCCATTATTTTATTTATTTTTTTTTTTTTTTATTTGACCCAAATCGGACAATCCGAAACATATTAAATAAAATCTTAAAGTTCATGCAAAAATAATGGATTTCTTTTTCCCCTAATATATATATATATATATATATATATATATATATATATATATATATATATATTCGAAAATGAAAAGCTTTTTTTTTAAAAATGATTAATTCATTCTCGTCGAACAAACTTAATGTCTAGTTACATAATCGGTATACTTATTAGGATGTTAAGTTGCATAACAACTTACTACAAAGCCTACGCATGAGATATGTCACTATTACACGTACGTAAATTAAAAGGTAAAGAAAAGAGAAAGATATTGGTATTATGAAAAAGGAGAGAAGATTATAAAAGAAGTCGATGACCGTCCATTACGTGTATATTTATATTACGTTATGTAGAAAGCACCTTTCCTCGATAAGGAGAATTAAAAAAAAAATGGTTTCATGAGCAACCGAATTCCGATTGGCCGGGAATCAGCGTGGGATCTCTTGATCGCGCCCTTATAGATCGGTTCACTCGATCTTCTTGGCAATCGTATCTGGACTGGTGATGCTGAATGAAAGGCAGCTTTCTCAGCACCTTTCCTTTTCGCTCGATCATGCGAGTTTACTTTCTGATTGGTGTCATTGCTCTCGCTACTGCATTGGAGGATGTAAGTTTAAATAATAATTAAATAATTAAATTATCATTACGTAACGTACAGATCTTATAATAGACATTTATAAATAATAAAAATTTGAAAATATTTGTTCATTTTTGTAACTTTTTAATTAAATTAATCATTTCACTGACTTTGCTGTATTGTATAAACATTGGTTATTTAATCAATTATTATTATCATTATTTTAAGAATGTGTCAATAAATAAACAGCATAGTGATAATGACAAATGAATAGATAAAATACTCGAGAATAATATATGTAAGTCGTAGTTGACGTGAAAAAAATAAAATCGATTTTATTAATTTTCGTGATCTCGATCTTGAATATATTTACATGTTAAGAATAACGAAAACTTGAAAAAGTCGAACAAAGTAAATATATTAACTCGTTCTACGTTAGGTCGTACTATCCAATACAAATATATAATATTTTTTTGTGTAATTATTAGTAAATATTTTTTTAGGCTGTTTCACAACGCCAGATTAATGGAGATCATCTTGACCAGGAAGAAGGTGTAATCGATAAAATATTTAACGTGAGTATTTGAGATCAAAGATTATCTTAATCTTTGATTTTTTTTTCTTTTCTTTTTTTTTCCTTTTTCTTAATAAAATAATTTAAATCAACACAGATTCCAATTACGGCGGTTAAACAAACTGCAATAGCGGCGCAATCGTTCACACCGGAAAATAAAGAAACGATCGACAACATTTTTCAGGTCAACCATTATGAACTTTGTTTCTATATTGTTCTCTTTCTCTCTCTCCCTCTCTCTCTTTCTCTATCTCTATATCTTTCTCTCTTTCTCTCTACGTATGTAATCTACTTTCGCTTTAAGATCAAATCAAGAGAACGTTGTAATCGATTACGTATTAAACTGGTCTGTATTCATCTTGTAGATTCCAATTTCAACGTTGGAGGCCGTTGGAAAACTCGTAAAAACAACTTCGTCACAGAGATTAGAAAACGCTGATGAAATTCAAAAGAGACGTCAGGAGAGACGCGATAGGATACAGGCTCAACGAGAGGAACAAAGATTAAGAAGAGAACAAATACAAAATGAACGATTGCAAAAGAAAGCATCGAGATATCCGAGACATCATCAAAATGATCCTTTTGGATTAAATTCATTGACGAAGCTTTTTATTGGCCATCATGGTGTCATTTACAGACCTCAACAGATACATACCTTTCTTGGAAATTATCACTGTTGTCTGAGTGATGGTCATGGCGGTAATCATGGAACTCATGGAAGCCATGGAGGTATCGATTAAATATGAAAATAAATAATTAATATCGACGTATTAACGCGATAAATATCATTAATATCATTAATATGTGAAGAATGTTCTCGATGAAAAAAAAGAAAAAAAATAATAATAATAAAAAAAATAAAAAAACGAACAAACGAAAGAAAGAAAAAATAAGGAAAAAAAAAAAAAAATTCCGTCATTTTAACGACGTGCATTTTACGATGCACTTATGAGTACTTTACGTAAGAATTCCTTTCGACGGGAATGTGCAACGTGTGTTAATAATCTCCGTTGGATGTCTTTCGTTTAAGAGAATAATTATTATTATAGTTACGTATGCCCGAGGGAGAGAAAGTCTGGTATAATAGATATGATTTTTCAGGTGTACATGAAATTCTTGGTGGTGGCGGACATGGTTCTAACATATATCAGGTACACGAGAATATCGACGAAGGTAATGGATCGATCGGAACTTTTTTCGGGCATTTTTCATTGAATCCATCGAAAGATAAAATTCAGAATAAGATAGCGCCGTCGATCAATGACGAACAAAATGATCCAATATTTGACAATATTTCGACAAGGAGAAAGGACAGATCTAGATATCGATACGACGAGCAACCACCGTTAGAGAATAAAATAGCTCCACGAAATACCAAGATTACGTTTGTTTGAATCTACTTTAATTTAATTTTTTCTAGAATTTTGTTTACAATTTTATATATATATATATATATATGTATATTTTTTTTTATTATTAACATTAACTATTACAACGAACGATTTTTAAGATTATAAATTGCGTCAAATGTAATTAGTCATTTTATAAATTCTCATTTTACAGATTATTGATCAATCGTTTAGTTTATTGAAATATCTCGTTCTATTGAATTTCATTATCATAGGAAGTACGTCACAAGAATTATCCGACCAATGAAAACCGGTTAGAATATAATGTGCATATAAAAATAATAATAAAGTGCATATAAAAATGCACTTATTCGTTTACGTTTAATGGACATGTGAGAGTGAATAATTTGTTTTTTTATTTCTCTTTTCTTTTCCTTTTTTTCCTTTTTTTTTTTTTTGTTTTTTTCTTCGTATAAATTTAATGTCAATGTAAAATTAGGGTGAATTACAAATGATTTTTAGCAATGAGTTGAGCATAAATCATCCTCAAGATAAAAGTTCGAATACCTTTGTGAATAATTATATTGATTGAATAAAAAAACAATGACGCTGATTCCTCTTACATATTGCATTAAAGATCTTTATTTTTTTGTTTATTTATCCCAGACGATGAGTGTGCTAAACATTGAAAAGATAAAAATTCTCATAATTTTAATCGATTCAAAGATCAAAAGTCATGTTTCAAGAACATTGAATGATTCATTCGAGCAATCTTATACGTGATTCTCCTATGTAAAACTTTGATTGTCCTCGAGAACTATTACACTTCCTATATATATATATATATTATCTCCTCTTTTGATTTTCAAAAAAATAAAGACAAAATCAAGGTATCTCTCGAATTCGATAAATTTTAAAAAGAACAGAGAACGAGCATACGTGATATGTATGCATAGATATGTATACATAGATATATACGTGTATGTAAATGATAGGCTTCGAATGTACGAACAAAAGCTTCATGAATAAAACATAAACGAGGTGAATATTTTTTACATGATTAAAAGGTTAAAAAAAAAAAAAAAAAAAAAAAGGCATGCATTTTTAAGCTGACCATCGACGTTAATTATTAATATTGTATCGTCGAACAGTATGTTTTCTCTTCGAAAAAAGACACACATTATATATATATATATATATATATATATATATATATATATATATAATTTGTAATATATTTATACATAATTTTATATAATTTTATATAATTTTATATTTATATATAATTATATATAATTTGTAATATATATATATATATATATTATGTAATATTACGCGTATTAAAAATCGTATTCTAAAAGTTGCCGAATTATGACGATTAAAAGATAGAAGAAAAAACTATAATAATGAGGAAGAAAAAAAAAGATAATAAAAAAAAGAGGAAGAATTTATTCACGTTGCTATAAAATATAAGATATAAGATTGCCATCTGATTTTTTAATAATCGTGACATTTGAAAGGATTAAAGTCTAAAATTTTTATCAATTTCATTTCGACGATACTAATTTATAAATTTTTACCTGTATATAACTATCCACGACAAATCAAAGAAATGACACGATGTTTAACGATGATATTAACGTTCAATCGTCTGTGTTTCTCCCTACTACCGGAGATAGCTTCATTTGTAGAAATTAGTGTTGGTTGGCAGCAGCCTTACCTGATTCGTTCAGTATAGAAGAAGATGGCGACGAGAAAAGTGAACGTTAACGATGTCCTTCTAATAGTGAATCTCTTTTTGTTTTTTTCTTTTCTAATCGATGCTAAAAAACTGGAAGATATTGTTCAAGAATCTTCCGGTGGGGTAAGCGATATTTTTATTTTTTCAAATTCGGTAAATTATTTCAAACATTCTTTGAAAAATGTTAATTAATTAATCATCAATGATCAATAATGATATCTCGAAAAATTGATAACTTAAAGATTGTTATAGAACCGATTTAAACGAAACAAAAATGAAAAAAAGAAAAAAAGAACAAGAAATAATATAATTAAATAAAAAAAAAAAAAAAAATTGGAAAAGAAACAATAAAATCAATTAGAGAAAGTAACGTTAACGTAATCTGATTAAATCATCAATCATATTCAACTACCGATTATATTATTTAACAATTTTAGTTGTATTATTAATATTTATAATTTTGAAACTTATAAATACTAAGAAACGATTAAGTATCTTTTCTTTGAAAATAATAACTTATCGAATATTCATTTGAACAAAAAAAAAAAAAAAAAATAAAAAACAGAGTATTCCCTGTCCGATATGTGAAAAATGACTTGCAAAAACTATTCCATTGCTATTGAACTATTGAACCTTCTAAAACAATAGTATATATAATAGACGTAATCATTTCAGTTGAAAAATGACAAGATGTCTAATAATTTGAAATTTATCTGTCAAACGTAATTATTCATTGAAATTATACATAAAAACTATAATTACTTCAATATCAACCTTGAATACATTTTAACCAAATATTATATAATAGCATGAAATATTATGCGTCTATAATTTTGTTATAATAAATAATATTTATAATATTTATAATAATATTTATAATAATATTTATAATAATATTTATAATAGTTTTAATAATAGTAATAATATTATAATAGTAATAATAGTAATTTATTATAGTAATAGTAATAATAACTGATCGATATTTTAATTACCAATCGATACATGCTCCAACATAAAATTTCATTTGATTTATCGTAGCTACCATTTTTACAATTCACAAAAGACGGTGTTCGTGTGAATTTTGCTGGATATCATGCTGAAACTGGTCTCGGTGGTCTTCTTGGTAATTCTCAAGCCGGTGGAGGACTTCATGCAAGTGCTGGAACACCGTTTGGTCCACAAGCGTCTGCTGGATTAGGTGGACTACTTAATGGTGATAATGCAAACACAGGTGAGAAATAAATCTTTTCTTTTTCTTTTTCTTTTTCTTTTTTCAAAAGAAAGATATATAAGTATCGTTGTTAGGTGGTGGCTTATATGCCCAAGCTGGTCTTGGACATAATCGACCAGCAGCCAGAGCTGGACTTGGAGGAATCCTAGACGGAAGTGGAAATTCGAATAATCCTATTGCCGGTATTCTTTTCGCGAACGCTGGACTTGGAAATAATCAACCAGAAGCCAAAGCTGGACTAGCAGGAATCCTGGACGGAAGTGGAAATTCGAATAATCCTATTGCCGGTACTCTTTTCGCGGACGCTGGACTTGGAAATAATCAACCAGCAGCCAAAACTTCCAATAATGTTTATTATGATACAGTACCTAATAATGCCGCATCAATTAAACCATCTACAAGTCACACAAATATACAATTAATTTCAGACTCAATACCGAAGAATCATAAGAGCCAAAGAGCGGTAAATATTTTCTCTGTCTTTATCTATCAATAAATTTCATTTCGTCTAAATGGAATGTTTGAATTTTCTTTTCAGATAAACTCAAAATCAGTAGTCCTGATCAACGAACCTATTCCCGAGTCGAAATACGTAAGTATTCGATTAATTAAAACTATTCATAAGTAGTATAATATTTGTAATGATCATACAAAAAAAAAGGAAATTAAAAATTAAAAAAATTCAGTTCCCAAAGGCAGGTACATCGGCAGAACTATATGCGAATACAGGTTATGTCAGTGGCAAGAGTGCATTCGAAAATGTACAAAAGATTCCAACTTCCCGTGATAAATCGATTGAAGAAGATCGAAAGATAAATGAGTCTACTCCACTTGTTAATGGCTTGATATCTTCGAAAGGAGTCATTGAAGCTAATGCTGGAGCTAATGGGAATGCTGCAGTTGGTAAGGAATAACAATTCGAATGAATGAATAGACTTTTAGCATCTCATAATCTAACTCGTTATATTATATCAATGTAGGTAGTAACGTTAACACGGCACAAGAACAACCGGTATTGAATCATTGGTACTTAAGAAAGAGATTTCGCAGTGGTCCATTGAGGAAACAAATATTACACTCGAGTTCGGTGATACCAGTTTCAGTTCCGATACCGGCATCCACATCTAGTGGTACATCAGGAACTGCATCTGGTGGAGTATCTGCAAGTGCATCAGGAGAAATTATCTCACGAGTGAACGCCGATAGTTCGGCTGGCAGTGACATCACTTTTGTTGGTTCGAAAACTTATAAACCAGGATCGTTCTTTGACGATATTTTTAATGTAAATGATCGCTGGTTTTTTTCTTTAATTTTTAATTTTTAATTTTTAATTTTTTCTTCTTAATTACCTCAATTACAAAAATTTTTCCTTACAGATACCGATTTCCACATTGACAGCGGTAAATCAATTACTCAGAAATAATGTTGGCTGAGGACTGGACCATCTTTATTATCATCTTACTACTTTATACTTCTATAATTATTTTCTTTTGATATTATTACGAATGATCTTCGTAACAAAAAAAAAAATCACGTAGTATTCATATGGTTGGTGCATTCGTTTATTATTATTATTTTTTTTATTTATTTTTTTCTTTTTTATTCTGAAGTATTTATTCGTCGACTACTTTTTATAAGAAACAATTATCTATTATAATAGGTACATAGGTTGCAATCATACAAACGAGATGATAAATATGACGACATTAATTATAATTTTTTATAGTATTTCTTTACTTTCTTTGTTCTATATTCCCCTTTTTTTATTATCGATAACATCATAATTCGTCGTTCAACGAATATTGCAATGTTATTATTATTCTATAATTAAATAATAAACAAATTAATATTTAATAAAACATTTATGATATTATCGCATATCTATGGAAATTTCTTACGAGTCTAAGCACTTCCTTGTTGGAGTATAAGTTTCACAAAGTATTTATATTGCATCAACAATTGTTTAGAAGTTTTATGAAAAAAAAAAAAATAATAACAAATACATTCATTTGAAGATATAGTTACGTTAAGTCATTAACAAGGACGAACGAATTAACCGTATCATTAAGAAGAGTACAAATTTGGTAAAAAGAAACAATTTATTTACTTCGACTTAACGATTATTTTAAAATAATCTTATCAATGCGATAAACTGAAAAAAGAACATTTTAAATGCCCGTAATGATATAAATAATCAGGTAATTCATCGACTTCCTTGCATTTTTCCTTCACAAGCCACTGTGAACGGTTCAGAAATAACGAAAGTGGAAAAAGAGAACAATTTCGAACATGGGAAAATTAATATGTCTGTTTCTACTTTTAATTGTTTCAAAGAATCTCGTATTGGGTCGTTCTATGATATTTCGAGACAATTTCTTATCGGGTCTAAGATACATAAGGGTAAGTATATAAAGAAATAAAATAATATTTTAAATATAAAAGTTCTAATCGCTGATATTTTATTTCAGTCGGCTGAAAATGAAAATCCGGAAATTAAAACGAGTAACGAAAATACACAGAACGACGACCCTAATATAAATATCAATAAATTGGATGATAGCAACTCAAAAAAATTAAAGAATAATAATGAAAATTCCAAGGAAGATCATAATTATTTTAAATATATATTTGGAGGCCATACAAAACCTGATAATTCAAAAGATTCACAAAATGAATACGATGAAGAGAGTAAAAAATCACATGACTCAAAAAACGGAGAAGGTAATAACTCCAATATAAACAATGGAAGTGGAAGTAGTTCTATAAACACTGGAAAGACTGGAAATAGCAAACAACAAAGTACAGAAGACAACGAACATAGTTCAGAAACCAGCAATGACTCTAAACAGAAAGATAGTTCAGGAAAAAACAAGAATTCTAAAGAAAAAGGCAGTTCAGAAAACAGCAATGATTCTAAAGATGGCAACAGTTCAGAAGGCAGCAATCATTCTAAAGACAACGAACATAGTTCAGAAACCAGCAATGACTCTAAACAGAAAGATAGTTCAGGAAAGAACAAGAATTCTAAAGGAAAAGGCAGTTCAGAAAACAGCAATGACTCTAAAGATGGCAACAGTTCAGAAGGCAGCAATCATTCTAAAGACAATAACAGTTCAGAAACTACCAATGACTCTAAACAGAAAGATAGTTCAGAAAAGAACAAGAATTCTAAAGGAAAAGGCAGTTCAGGAAACAACAATGACTCTAAAGATGGCAACAGTTCAGAAGGCAGCAATCATTCTAAAGACAATGATAGTTCAGAAACTACCAATGACTCTAAACAGAAAGATAGTTCAGGAAAAAACAAGAATTCTAAAGGAAAAGGCAGTTCAGGAAACAGCAATGACTCTATAGATGACAACAGTTCAGAAGGCAGCAATCATTCTAAAGACAATGATAGTTCAGAAACTACCAATGACTCTAAACAGAAAGATAGTTCAGGGAAGAACAAGAATTCTAAAGGAAAAGGTGGTTCAGGAAACAGCAATGACTCTATAGATGACAACAGTTCAGAAGGCAGCAATCATTCTAAAGACAATGATAGTTCAGAAACTACCAATGACTCTAAACAGAAAGATAGTTCAGGAAAAAACAAGAATTCTAAAGGAAAAGGCAGTTCAGGAAACAGCAATGACTCTAAAGATGGCAACAGTTCAGAAGGCAGCAATCATTCTAAAGACAATGACAGTACAGAAACCAGCAATGACTCTAAACAGAAAGGTAGTTCAGGAAAGAACAAGAATTCTAAAGGAAAAGGCAGTTCAGGAAACAGCAATGACTCTATAGATGGCAACAGTTCAGAAGACAGCAATCATTCTAAAGACAATGATAGTTCAGAAACTACCAATGACTCTAAACAGAAAGGTAGTTCAGGAAAGAACAAGAATTCTAAAGGAAAAGGCAGTTCAGGAAACAGCAATGACTCTATAGATGGCAACAGTTCAGAAGACAGCAATCATTCTAAAGACAATGATAGTTCAGAAACTACCAATGACTCTAAACAGAAAGGTAGTTCAGGAAAGAACAAGAATTCTAAAGGAAAAGGCAGTTCAGGAAACAGCAATGACTCTATAGATGGCAACAGTTCAGAAGACAGCAATCATTCTAAAGACAATGATAGTTCAGAAACTACCAATGACTCTAAACAGAAAGGTAGTTCAGGAAAGAACAAGAATTCTAAAGGAAAAGGCAATTCAGGAAACAGCAATGACTCTATAGATGACAACAGTTCAGAAGGCAGCAATCATTCTAAAGACAATGATAGTTCAGAAACTACCAATGACTCTAAACAGAAAGGTAGTTCAGGAAAGAACAAGAATTCTAAAGGAAAAGGCAGTTCAGGAAACAGCAATGACTCTAAAGATGGCAACAGTTCAGAAGGCAGCAATCATTCTAAAGACAATGATAGTTCAGAAACTACCAATGACTCTAAACAGAAAGGTAGTTCAGGAAAGAACAAGAATTCTAAAGGAAAAGGCAGTTCAGGAAACAGCAATGACTCTATAGATGGCAACAGTTCAGAAGACAGCAATCATTCTAAAGACAATGATAGTTCAGAAACTACCAATGACTCTAAACAGAAAGGTAGTTCAGGAAAGAACAAGAATTCTAAAGGAAAAGGCAGTTCAGGAAACAGCAATGATTCTGAAAATAATGATAGTTCAGAAGATAATACAAATTCCAAAAACGATCATAACAATAAAAAACACAAAAGAAGTGAAAATAGTAATAATACAGGATCATCTGATAATTCTAGCAATAATAATAATAATAGTAATAACACTGGGATTAGCTTAACAGGAACAGAAGGAAACAGTTCAATGTCTGGAGGGAATACCCTTTCTAACTTATTAAAGGTACGTTATAGTAATCTTTTAACATATTAGATATTTCTGCTTATAACTTAAGGCATAAAAAATTACAAAAATCTTTACCATGTATTGTCTCTTCGTTATACTTTGTATTGATCAATTATTCTTATTTATTTTGCAGTTAGTATATAATCTACTGTCTTCCATACTGGATTTCATAATAAACTTGATCACATCACCTATCAGAGGCATAATAAACTTCGTCACATCACTTATCAAAGGCATAGTAAACTTGGTCTCATCACTTTTCAGAGGCATAGTTGAACTTTTAACATCTATACCATCTGTATTAGAAAACCTACTTCAAGGAATTGTTAATCTTGTACGAAACATATTCTTTAATCCCTCAAACATACTTGAATACTTGCTAAAAGCTATAACCGATCTCCTCGATAGTGTACTTAATATTGTTGAATCATTACTAAGCAATATTTTAGACGCAGTTGTAAAATTCTTAGAATCAATCTTACCCAAAAGTTTAACATCATTGCTTGGCATTTAAGATTTTGTTTCCAATTAATAATCGACAATGTCTTATATCCATTATATGTAAAACAATAAAAACATTAATCAAAATTATATAATAAAATATAATGAATGAATAAATATCTTTTGTATTAATAATTTATCCATTAACAATCGATCTTATCTGTGATCAAATATAATTAAACATTGAATAATATTTTTCAAAGATTTTGTTGTTGTAGTCGTTGTAAGATGTTAACATAGTTTACACATTGCTTTCTACACGGAGCAATAATACTAAAAATGAAAGTAACTGAGTGTCGTAAGAATACTTCGTGTCCGTTACCAACTATTGCAGCTTTGTCAGTCAATGAGTGAACAGCATTACGTACGGAACAATAATTCATTGAAAATTATTATTTAATTCATAATAATCAAATAAATTTGAATAATTTTCGTGATATTAAACGTACAGGAATGTACTGTCGACGAATTAAACAAAAAATCAGTGAAATAAAGTAAATCGATATTATTATTATTATAAAACGATAACTCCAAACGATCATTTGATATTTTATAAAAATTAAAACATTTTTAATTAACGAATCAAACTGTTACTTTACAATACAACAGGTGTGTCTATTTCCTTTCTTTTCTTTTTTCTTTTTTTTTTTTTATTAATCTGCAGTAGATACTAACTTTTCAAAACACCTTTCAAATCAACTTTTCTTTTTCTTTTCTTATTAAATTACAATCATTTCTCATATATTAATTATTCACGTTGCAACATTTTTATTAGCATCAGAATTTCAGAATAGCCACGTTGAGAACTTCATCGAGTGATTGCTTTTTCAAATAAAATGCTACTTTTTTCGATGTTTGAGTTTCTCCTTCTGTGTCTCCCTACATCAAACTGTTATCCCATAGAAGAACCAACGAAATTCCTTCTCAGCACCGAAGAATTGAACGTAGAAAACATTCAAAAGCCGTCGAAACTGGAGAAAGCACAAGTAAGATTTTCGATAATAATATAATTTTTTCTAGTAAATTCATCGTTCATTTTTCATATTATAATATTGTATTATCAGTAGCTCCGACGAAAATTTGCGTAGAAAAATTACGAACAGATTATTAAGAGAAGCTTTAAAATTATTATTATTATTATTATTCTATTATTATTATTATTATTACTATTACTATTATTATTATTATTACTATTACTATTATTATTATTATTATTATTATTATTATTATTATTATTATTATTATTATTATTATTATTATTATTATTATTATTATTATTATTATTATTATTATTATTATTTTAAGGCGTATCACGATTGTTGTAATTACACATTATATTGCGAAAGTTTTTGATTACGCAGTAATCAATATTTATTAACGATCGATTTTAGACAAGCGAAGGAGAAATTTCTTTTTTTTTCTTTCAATTCGAATTTTTACTCGAAAGTGGTTTCTTTCGCTTTCTCATCTCTCTCTCTCTCTCTCTCTCTCTCTCTCTCTCTCTCTCTCTCTCTCTCTCTCCATTCCTCTCTTTCTCTATATTTATCTTTTTATATTTGCCATTCGTTGAGAAAAAAAAATACGAAAAGGTCAAAAATGTTTTTTTCGCTTTCTCTCTCTATCTCTCTCTCTCTCTCTTTCTTTCTTTCTCTCTCTCTTTCTCTCTCTCATTTTTCCTCTCTTTCTCTCTTCATTTCTCTCTTTCTCTATATTTATCTTTTTATATTTGCCATTCGTTGAGAAAAAAAAATACGAAAAGGTCAAAAATGTTTTTTTCGCTTTCTCTCTCTCTTTCTCTCTCTCTCTTTCTTTCTTTCTCTCTCTCTCTCTCTCTCATTTTTTCTCTCTTTCTCTCTTCATTTCTCTCTTTCTCTATATTTATCTTTTTATATTTGCCATTCGTTGAAAAAAAAAAGGAAAGGAAGAAAAAAGAAAATACGAAAAGGTCAAAAATGTTCGCCTCGATTTTTATAGGAATTGTTAGGTCAAATCGGTGATGCAATAAGAATCGGCATAGGAAGATTTGTCAATACAATTACATTGGCCAGAAACATCATTGTCTACCGAGCTGAGGTAATAATACATCGTGAAAAGATATTGCAATATGGTGTAAAAAAAAAGGAAAAAAAAAGAAAAAAAAAACAAAGAATAATAATTATCATAATCAACCCCAATCCATAAATATAAATATCTTCGCCCATAAATATTGCAAAAAAGTAATTGCCGACCTTCTTATTTTAACCTTTATTTTGTAATATGTTATAATTAATTCTATGATGAATAAATAAATATACACATATATCTGTGTGTGTATATATATACATATATAATTACTAGGAAAAAAAAAAAAATGAAAGTTCTATTAGCATATGCAAATTTTCATGAAATTTCATCGTAACGTGATAGATCATTACAAACTTGTATATTATATTACTGACAGGATTTTCTCATCTTTTTTTCTAGTAAATCTTTTTAACGACTTCTAATCATTATTATCGTAATGTTATATATCGTAAGGAATTCATTGTTATATACTTAATATATTAATAATAAAACAATCAAAAATTTGATTTGTTTCAGACAGTCGCGGCGAGAAACGTCACCCCGGTTATCGCAATTAAATCCGAACTTTTAGATCAAGGACGTAAATCCTTGGAATCCCTTCGATATCCTTCTGATATTTTTACCAATTTTCCAAAAACTCAGGAAACTGTTCATCTAGAAAATGAGTCTGAACAATCGCTAGTAGAAAAAACGATTTCATTCCCGTTCAATGATTTACTCGTGAATTTCTTTATGCCGATACCTTTATTGGATCGAATAAAGGAAGAAGAAAAATATGGTAATACGGGAAATAATTTGGCCGGTATTGGAAAAGCTTTTATTAATGGCTTTGAAAATTTCAGTAATTTTTTGAATTCCGCATTTGGGGTAAGTATCGAGTGAACAATTAATTTCAATGTTTTTTCATCGATCATTTTTATCACGATTATGTGTTTCTTTTCTCAGTCGACGCAAAATATTAAGAAGAAAGTGAAAGAAAATATCAGTGAAGCATTAGATCAGATCGGAGGAAAATTAATTGGATTTCAATGAATTAAATGACTATCGAACGATTGTTATTATTTCTTGTTGGGTCCAAAAAAAAAAAAAAAAAAAAAGAAAACAAGAAAAAAAGAAAAAAAGACACCATCGAACGAGATGTATATATAAAGTTTTATTTAAATAAACGATAAAAAAAAAAAAACAACATTTTTGGCGTGACTAAAGAAAGTTTGAAGGAAGTAACGACAAGAAGCTGGAATATTTTCTAATCGTCCTTTGAGTCTTGTACATGACTATTTCTCTAGAATATTATCGCAAGCTCGCATGAACGTATATGTTCGTACGTATATATAAAAGAAAAATTTGTATCTGTGTGTGTGTGTGAGTGTATATATATATAAAGAAAACGAAACGAAAGAAACATCCTATTCACGCGCTAAGCAAACTATGAGAGTTAGGTAATTATAATGATATAAATAAATACAATTCCAGGCATCATTCTCTAAAAGAATTAAAGCTAAACGAATTCTAATTTCTAATGATTGAAAGAGCTTCGATCAAAAGATATACGTACATATATATTTACATATATACATATGTGTATATATATATATATATATATAGACATATGTATATATGTATGAACAAAATTTACAAAACCTTTCTCTTGAAAGAGTTCGAAGGAGCATAATCGAACGATAAAACGAGAAATATTCTCGAATAATCTCGGGTTTTTTTTTTCTCATTGACTTTTTCGTCTTCGCTCGTTCGTTCGTTCGTTCCTAGTAAAGAGCGTAAGAAGAAAAAGAACGTATGACGATATCGCGAGATAGACGATCATATATTGTTCTCATCAAAGATCAATAGATCGTCGCGGAATCGAAATATAATTATGTCGATCTAACGACAATCTTATGGATCTTAGACGCTACTCTCGTCTAAGATCCAGCGGAAATTCTAGGTATTGGTAGTGTCATAGCTCTTGTACGTGTGTGAGGATTTCTTTTGCCTGACCGTGCAAAAGAGTATCATACTGGCGACTTGTCCAAATAATTGAAGAAAAGCAACGACCAATCCAACGGTACCAACAACGTGTAACCTTGTAACAAGCCATAATTGAATGGCCGAGGCACAACCTTCCTTGTACCAAAGTTCTTTGTTCAATCCTTCAGGATCGAGTCTACCACAATACCTTTCTCTTTGTATACAACAAGAGTCTGGTACTCGATCTTCCGTTGGCCAAGCATCGATCTGATACCAATCCGTATAATCTCGAACACCACAACAATGGAACTAAAATAAAAGATAGTTTGATATTAATCGAAGAACTGTTCTTTATCATTAAATATAAAATTTTATTATACATAATTATTACCTCAGTGTGTATGTGATCCCAAACAGCAGGTAAAGTACCAGGTTCCCTCGTTAAATTGTAATGCCTTTCAATGCCAAATAGCAATTCTTCTTTAAGACTTCTAGCGAGATGTTCACGGAATATAAAGGCGAGTGTACCGAGCATAAATTCAGCCAGGAACATCAGTATAACGAGACTGAAGTACTAAAACAGGATGTAGCAATGTGTGATAGAACAAAAAAAAATATCTATTGATCGAGACAATTGCCAATTATATGTTGCGCTTACCGTGATCAGCATGCATCTCGATTGGAACCAAGCTCCACAGCATCCGAAGAAAGCAATGACGAAGGTGACGCATCCTGCTGCTAGTAATAAAGAATCAGCCGATGCAAAACTGTATTGTGGTACCAAAGTCGTGTATCCAGAGTAAGCCAATCTCAACCAAAGGCCAGCACCCAAAATTCCACAAGCGCATAACTGTAAAAATAAATTACAATCGCGATCAGATTACACGTGAAACGAATCATTTTCACGTCAGTTCACTAGACTATAAACTAGTTCGAATCAGAAAAATTGGCGGGAAATTTTGATATTCGTTAACCAAGAGATCTTGTAATTTATAATTCTAAATTATTTCTTCGTTTCTTTTAATTATTTATTAACGATTCATCGATATTTATAATAATATCATCGATAAACATATTTTTCTTTTTATAATTCCAAAGATATTTTTCATTGTAAATATAATTATTTCGAAAAAGAAGAAGAAGAAGAAGAAGAAGAAAAATAATCGTATAAAAATTATAACGCGTAACTCAAAACAAATTTCTCGTCGGTAGAACGGGCAAAGTGGCGTGGATCATCGTCTACTTAGATACCGTAAGTTCATAGCTCATAGAGCACGGTTCAACGTCCCGTTTAGAGTCTCCCCCGTTCTCGTAGCGAATGTTTCGAAGAGTGGCAATAAATTCGAGAGGCCGGAAAGTGCACTGGAATGCACCGAGCAAATTACAATGCCCGTCGTTCCGAGTGCCGTTCTCCACTTTTTCCATTCGATTCTGATCCATGTCGGTCAACTTTTCCTAGCCGTGTATGCGACTCGCATAAAATTTCTAGACTTTCGGAAGTCTGTGACAAAAACCCGTTAACGGGTTAACTCTTGTAAGCTAATGTAACTACTAAAAAGAAGGACAAACTTAATAAACGAGAACATCTTATATGTATGTATGTATGTATGTATGTATGTATGTGTGTATCTATATGTATTTATATATATATATGAATATATATATGTATGTATATACATATATGTATATATATATATATATGATTGTACATTTACATACCCATATGAGAACGTTGAGAGAGCAAAAGACGTGCCTTATACACGTGTATCCTGTGCGACCCATGGTTCAATCCCACTTCCTTCAAGTTCCTCCGATGGGGAACTGACACTGTTTCCTAGAAGTTTGAAAATGAAGGATGGAGGATACCAACGATCTTTACCGCGAACAAAAAACAAACGGAAATAATCTTTCACCAATGTAAATACATGGATATACATATATCTCGGACGTTTCAAACATTTTCTTCATTTCTTTTTTTTTTTATTTTTGTATTTTTCATTCACTGACATTATATCTCTTCTATATCACTTAGATTAAAAAGGATTTAATCTTTGAAGGAAATCCTTCGGAACTCAGTCATTTCTTTCCATTTTTTCCATAATCCTTTTTCTTTTTGTTCTTTTTTACATGTAAAAAACGACGAAAGAGAGAGACAGAGAGAAAGAGAGACAGAGAGAGAGAGAGAGATAGAGAGAGAGAGAAAAAGAAAGAAGTAAATAATCGCGAATTATTTATTTCTTTCCCTTTAAAAGGTACACGAACGCGAAATAAACAATTCGACAGAATGTGCCGAACTATACTAGCAAAATAACGATCCTCCTCGAACGAGGATCCGTCCCGTAATGTATCTGGGACCAAGCTCGATACGATTGACTCTCCGGCCCCGGTGGGCCTTCTAGGTCCCCTAACGGGACACACCGCAGACACGGCCTCTCACCTACACGCTCTTACAATCGCGATCACGTTATTGAGATCGCGTGGATTTGTAAAAGAAAGTAGGGAGAAAGAGAGATAGGAAGGGATTGCTTAATGATATCTCCTTCGAAGGATACGCCACATTAGAGGTCGAACCTACGTCACTTTCCTGTCGAGTACTCACGGTAGATAGAATGACAGATAGAATAATTTTGAAAAAAAAAAAAAAAAAAAAAAAAAAAAAAAGAGAAAAAAAGACAAGAAAAACAAGTGCAATCAAATAACATCGTCTGGTAAAATTTTTTCTTTGTCTTGTTTTTCTTTCTTTTTTTTCTTTTTTTTTTTTTTTTTGCTCTTTTATATTTTTCTATTGTCCAATAGACAATTACGGCATAAAAAAAAGTGAAATCCTTCGTTGTGTAATTTTGTAAATACTGATTGATTACGCTATTTATCTACGATATTAATTAATTCATTCCTAACATTATCAAACCGTTCTCGGATCATTTTTATTTTTATTCAAGACACAGAGGAACATACATGTAATTTTTATTTCCGTTCGCGTGTCGTCATATAGATATAGATATATATATATATATATATACGTACATATTTTTTTTTTCTTTCCTTCATAGATGATCTTATGTAGTAGTAATAGTAGACGTATACACACTCGTACGAGCGATTTCACTGAATTATTAAAGTTTTCTCTCGATGAGGCAGCCATGCGGATTATCGCACTCTCTAATCGTATCTCGAAGAAACAGCTCGCACGATTTATGTGGGTCCTGACGTCTCTCTCTCTCTCCCTCTCTCTCTCTCTCTCTCTCTCTCTCTCTCTCTCTCTCGGTGAATAGACACTCTAATAACTGCTAATCCAATCCGTGCGATCAACGATCGTAGCAGACGAACTTCATAGATCCTCTCATTATAGAAACGATACGAGTTATATATATATATATATATATATTTATTTATTTATATACATATATACATATACACACACACAAACAGACACACACGCGTACACACACACATAGATAAATACGTGGTCTAATCAAGAAATTAACGAGGAAGCAGTAACGTAGGAAGTTTCTCGTTGCGCTAAAACACGACAGAAAAAAAGAGTGAGATAGGGAGAAAGAGAGGAAAAGAGAGGGAGAGAAGAAGAGAGAAGCTTTTACCTTGAATATATATTCGTGTGCGTATGTGCGTGCGTCAACACGCTATGAAAACGCGCGCGAAACAAGTCACTCGTTGATACTAACTCGACCACGTGTTCTTGGCATTTCTACATTTGCGATTTCAAAGTAGATTCGTTTTTATGATTTTGACTTCTCTTTCTTTTCTTCCTTTGTTTCATAACTCTCTCTCTCTCTCTCTCTTTTTCTCTCCTTTTTTTATTTCATACACATACATACGTTATCGCTCTTGTATAATATTGATTTACCTTATCGAAACTTTAGTGTTAAACGCGTTCATTATGGTTCTCATTTTATAACCAATGACTATAAGAAAGATATATATATATATATATATATATATATATATATATATAATTCGTTTAACTTTTCGCGAATCGATCTTTCGATTATAAAAAAGGAAAAAAAAAAAAGAAAAGAAAATAATAAATAAATATATATCCAATATAGATAAGAATGTTTAACCTTCGGATATATAAAATTATGTTTACGTGGTAAACGTAAATTTTATTAAAGCTTATCAATTATTATGAAAACTCGTCGAAAATTCATTGAACGGCAGGTGTACGCAGAGGTGTACTTAGGGCAAAAAAGGTTCGTTACACGTTAATATTTCTTTCGTACGAGGGCGTTAATCGTACTTGAAATCAATTCGCTCGAGGGAAATGGAACCGCAGAAGCGACTGCGCTAATGAACGTCGAAGAGAGTTACGAGGGGGCGTAGAAACTGTTCTCCCTGCCTCGACTTCCTGCCAATTGCGGACAATTTGCAATCATCTATGATCTCCCCGCTCCTCACCGTTAGTTACCCGTCGCTGTGGATGGTGCCTAAACGTAAAAGAGATAACACGACACAATTTTCTCTCTTTCTCTCTCTATCTCTCTCTCTCTCTATTTATCTCTCTTTCTCTATCTATCTGTCTCTCTATTCATCTTTTACTCTCACTCTCTTTCTCTATCCACGCTATTGCATATTAGCATTAATGCGACCTACGTGCTTACAACTTCCCACGTGACGTAATCATGGAAAGATGAACAAAGAGTAGCAATGAAAATATTCCTTTATCATCATTAAAAAAAAAACTTTCTGGTTTTCTCGATGTCTTATTCTGAGTTAACATCGATCGATAGATAGATCAATTCGCATAAACATGTCATATCTATGAAGATGCATATGTATATATATATATATATATATATGTGTGTGTATATGTATGTGTATACGTGTATATACAAATAGTTCGTAATTAATTGAATGATCTTGGTATGATAATAATGACATAATATGCGAACGCACGTTTTAGACCCTCCCACGTACGAGAAAGAAAAAGATAGACTTAACGGTGCATGCAGTATCGGGAACAAAGGGCCGGCACATTTATCAACGCGACATCATTTAATTCCACACGGCGCGTACGTGATCGGTTTCTCGAACGAGGGATTACATTTAAAGGGGTTATCGTTTATACATGTTTTATATATGTATATATGTTTCGTCAAGATGAAAATATTTTCATAACAGAAACGTCTCGAATCGCAATGATACATATGTACTTATAGTTATGGTTAGATAGAACGGATATCTCCGAATACGAAAGAAAGAAACGCGAAGAGGAAAAACGAATAACGTGTTCTTCTTTTTATATGAACGAGTTTCACACACCGTCACGTCTTATTAGCGGTACCGTTCGTATACGTTCTAAGTTGCTTCTTCAATAACATTCTTTTTTTTTTCCTTCCCACGAACATTAGAAATAAAAAAGAAAATAATCGGCAAATAATACAATACGTTCGTTGGTTCGTTTCAATGAACATAATGTATAAACTTTGATTGTATTCGTTGTGTTTCGTGGGAAGAGAAATCGACTACGTGACGTTGCTACTACGTAGCCTTCATTTTTCGCACGATCAATTTTTTTACTTGTTGTCATTGTCCGAGAAATATCGTTGCATTAATAAATATATTTACATTCTTTATTTATTTAAATATGAAATCGTCGAGAAAATGAAAATTGTCGAACTATTAAATTTTCTTTATTATTTTATCATTCGTATTTTCTTTTAAATGAAAATTATTATTTATATTTTATTAATATCGAAACGTTTTTTTTTTCTTTTTTTTTCCTTCTTCTTCTTCTTCTTCTTCTTCTTTCAGATAAATTCATTCACAAATCATAGAATTCATTTGCAAAATGTCATTGAAGAAACGTTTACCTTCTAAGAGATTACGCTTCATCTTACATTTCGCATTAACTTCATTATGAACTTCGACGGGAGATCGTTATCGCATAATGCACGTAGTCGACTTTTCTTACGTAACAATGTCCACTTGTAGAGAATAAAATATCTCGTAGATTTCCTTCGTATATTCTTTGTAAATTTTTAGCGAAGACGTTTGACGAAAAAAAAAAGGAAGATAAAAAATTATAAAAAAAATAAATAAATAAAAAAAAGAAAAAAGAAAATAACGACGAAGCAGTTAGAGTCGCTTAGGAAAAAGAAAAAAAGAAAAAAGGAAAAAAGAATAGAAAAGTAATAGAAACGAAAATAATCGAGATTGCGTATGTCTCACTCAAAATGTATAATTCAGAACAACAAATGGGATCGTTTTGCATTTAAAAAAGCTTCTCTTAGAAAAGAATGAGCTCTGTGTGTACATATATACGTGCATTGGAATTTGTGACGCAATCGCGTAATTGTATACTAACATGCATTGCCATTGCATAAAATATCGAAAGTGAGGGAATAAAAAGATACAAAAAAAAAAAAAAAAAAAAAGAAAAAAAATGAAAGAAAAAATATAATGAAGATATTTTCACGAATGTCACGAGGAACCTCTTGATCATACATTTTATCCTTTTTTACGAGAAATTCGAATAATATCGAAATTCGAGAATGAGAATCGTTGTTAAAGGCGCGAAAATATGATCATATCTTCTTAATAAAATCACTTTTGTGAGATAACTTACGTATCTTTAAGAGGAATTATTTAAATGGGATCTTCCTTTTGAATGTTGTCAAAGAAAATTCTATTTTTCTTTCTTTCTCGAATCACAAAAGCTTCTTCATGGATGCTGCAGTCAAAGGTCGAGTCGCGTTTACGGCGACTGTTTCGAGTACGCGAATCGACTGCAGACGAAACGCCGGGCAGAATTCTCCTCGCACATCCGTTCTCCATCCTCTCTTCAAAAGATCTTTTGAGACAACCGCCATCTCATGGTGATCCAGCGAGTTTGTTTCGACTTAAGTAAAAACGATCGATTGAGTCCAATGATCGCGATCAAGAATCAATCTTACTATTGATTAATTTTTAAAAGATTAGATTAGGCACGATGATTATAATCGTAAAAAAAAGAATTACTATTTATTTCTTTTTAGAATTTTTTCTTTTTTTCTTTTTTTCTTTTTTTCTTTTTTTCAAATACCACTTTTTATTAACTGCGAGAAGTTTCTAATTTCCAACGAGAATTAAATTCTTTTTTATAGAAATGTGCTATAACGATATATTACAGGCATACAATAGTACGAATAAACGTTGAAAAATAAAAAATATAAATGATAACTAATTACGGAATAAAAAAAAAAATAGTCAATTAAAGTTAGCACAAAGAAACTCTTAAATGTAATAAGTCATCGTTAAATCATCTCGAGATCTTGTTAGTTTTCGACGATCACGTTAGTTTTCGTGGTTATAAAATATTTTTCGAATAAACATATTTCTCTAATTATTAAACTAAAAAAAAAAAAAAGATCAGGTTTATTTTTTTTCTTTTTTTTTTTTTTTTTTTTTTTTTTTTTTTTCTTAAAGAATTTTTCACAAAGCTTATAAAATTTTATGCGATTTCTAATTTTATTATCATATAAATTTATTTTTAGTTAAAAATTTTTTCCTTATATTCCTCGAGTGTCTTAAGGCAATAAACTTTTTTTCTAATGTAAATAAAAAAAACAATTCATCTTATCTTAACGACGTACGTAAAAATTAACTATCTTTTTAATAATCTCGATACTCATGATATAAATCTTTTACTTTCGAATTATGTTAAATTAATGATCATTATTTATCGACAAGTATTTTTTCTCCATTAGACAAACAAGTTTTCTTTCAATTCTTCAAGTTCTTCTATCTACAAAAAAATAGGCTTTCTTGAATAATAAATTTTTAACATAAATTTTAATATGACAATAAGACAGAACGGTACATTCTTATTTCGTAGACGATTATTGCAATTATTTATTTTATCTTTGATAATAATTATTTTCTCAGACTAATATTCACTCTTATTTCGACTAAATTTATTTAAAACAAGGTATAATTTATAAATAAAAAATATTTATCTCAAAAAAATATTTAACAATATCTACAAAATTCACTTCCTTGCAATGATCATCGATTTGACGATCGAGTTAGTGTTCATAAAAAGTTTATATCATAAAGTACAAAGATTATGCCGATAAAAATATTCCTGAATTTGACTTGCATATCATGAACAACAAAATCAACGATCAATGTCATCTTGTGCATGAATCATCGAGGATTGCAGTACCATCCATTTTTCTCACCAAAGTGAATACTTGAAAAGAACTTGAATCAATTAATGAAGACAAGCAACATCTATTCATGCTTGTATTATTCATATTATTCAAGAGGCATTATTCATTTTATCCAAGTCTTCTAAAATACATATTTTTACCTGCATAATGAAAAACAAATCAAATAATCTTATATATTATTGTGAATTAAATATCTTAATGTTAACTATCTACATGAGATAATAATTATTGAAAATGCTTGAAATGAGCATATACAAAATGTTTAATAAAAATATACGTCTAGTAATAATCGTTTATTATACTTAATGAATGCTTAGCGACCTTACAATCGACTTTACCGAATCGATTTTTCATATTTTTGTTAGAACTTAACATTGCTTAAATAAATAAAAATTTAAGGAAAATTTGTTTTTCTTTTTTATCAGAACTACATTGTACAATAAAAAAAAAAATGAAATTATTTTAGAAGACAGTGCGAGGCTTAAAATAGTTATCATAAAAAATTAATCGATAACACCATGGTCAAATAATATTATCAACATTTGTAAATTAAAATTAAAATTAAATAAAACATGAAAGTTATTCGAAATTTAAATAAAATTTAAATTATTAAATGCTTACCATTACTATTATTTATAGATTGTAGTTTCGTCCATAAATTTTGTTTTATTTTGGATAAATTTTGCCATAGCAAATTTGAATATTAATCTAAGAAAATAATATCAAAGATGAAATAAATAATCTTATTAATCGTCACGAGACAAGAGAGTATTATTCTGTCTTATTATCGTACCAAAGTATCAAAAAAAAAAAACTATTATTCAGACAAATTCAATTCTTTATAAAACGAACGAGGGTAACTTACTCGCCTAGTGGTGGAGAAATATTATACTAATCGACTTGAGTAAAGACTTCATCAGCTGTACACGAATAATTTAACCACATTCATTGTCCATGTACGACATGTTTTCGTTGCTTTAATTAAGTAAAATTTTACAGACCAACAAACACTGATTTTATCTTTTTCTAATCAACGAAAAACAGAATAAAAGTATTAATAAAATTAATTCGTTGTCATTTATATAGATATAAAAAAAATAATAAATACATGGCATAATAATTATTTCAAAAATTCAAAAATTTTAATATTCTCGATAGTTTATTCAATTTTCTTCATCCAATTTAATATAAACTATTAATTATGTTTGTATAAGTGTGTGTCATATATGATTTAATTTATAAAATATCACAGTCTTCCAGTTTTAACAACATAGGAATTTTATGATCAAAAAGTTTAAAAAGTTAATAAGTCTGAGATACTTCTTTCTAAATACAATCAAAATAAATTTTTTAAATATGAAAAACAAGTTATATAATATTTTTTTTCAGTTGATTCAAATTGATCAACTGATCGTAATCAAACTAATTTTAAATGCAAGATTTGTGATGACAATAAAAATACACAACAAAATATAGAAGCAACGCAAAAGGAAGAAAAGATGAAGAATAATCCTTTAAAAAAAAAAATCTGTGCTATAGATGAATATAAGGATATGCATTGTAGAGGATGGGAAAAAACGTGAAAACAGAAGTTAATATTTACAACGATGTATCGGTATCAGTCATAAATAAAAAAAAAAAACTACAAGTTAAATAATAAAATCTGTTATACTTTACTGATCTGCTAATATATTATATATATAAATTTGTTTACTGCTAATATATAGCATAATATATACTGTATTATATGACTTTAAATTATATAATATCGCATTATATTATATCAATATTATATTTATATGATTAAGTAAATATCCATACGATTGGTAACTACAATATATTTCGTATATATAAATAATTAAAATGCAAATTAATGTTTACCATGAATAAAAATTCAATATATTTTTTCTTAATTCATTATTACATCAATTATTTTCCATATAACAACTTGATCTTTATATAATAATTCTATGATGTAAAAATAAGAGAGCAAAAAATTTTGAAAAGATAAAAAATTTATGAAGTTCGATTTGCAAAAAAAATGTTCGCTTTTTCAAGAATTTGAAATTCTTAACAGGAGACCATAATTTACGATTTCGCATGTCACCTCTTCATCATATGATCCTGATACAAACTCAATTTGTGAGAAAAAAAATTTTCTCTTTGTCCAGAATTTGCAATATTTTTTTTTTTTTTTTTTTTTTTTTTTAGATAAAGAGAATAGAGGGGCAATTTTAATAGAATACTTACCTTTTTTTTTTCATTTTCATTTTTATTAGTAATACGTAATAAATATATTTTGATAATTATTTTATGTATGATTAATTGTATATATGTACAAATATGTATTTATATGATGTACAAATATTTATTTTATCACGTAAATTTCACTATAATATAATACAATGTAATACAATATAATGCAATATAATATATTGTAATACTGCTATAATAAAGGACAAATTGATTATCTCCCTTTATATGCCGTTCGGAAAGAAAAGATAAATTATTTCTATAAAAAAAAAAAAAAAAAAAAAAAGAAAAAAAGAATTCATTTATAAATCAATCAACGTCATAGGTAAATATATATTTTTCTTTTCAAAGTCTGTTAGTGTTGTCTTTTTTTTTTTACAATGAATCAAAACTAACTACGATCAACTGTAATTAATGTATGATAATGACTATATTTATATATATAGTCATATATATATTATATATATATATATATATATATATATATATATATATTTATAAATCCAATAGAAGTCGACGACGATATAAATGTAAGATGATCATTTACAAATGCGTGATGCAAATGCATTCTTATGTAAATGCATGTGAGAAAAATGCATTTTTCTGAATTTAAAAACAAAACTACAATACTTGATTAAAATATGTTTTTATGCAAAGTAAAAATTCTTTTTGTCATTTATCAATATATATCTTTAAATAATAAAAAATTATCTTCTACATAATGTTTTATGAATAAGCTATGAAGTAGTTGATTCTTAAAAAAAAAAAAAAAAAAAAAAAAAACAGAACTCCAAGTAGTATACAAAAAAATCTGAAGATAGGATCATCTGAAATAAAAAAAATCCACAGTATTTCTATTTAAATATATGTAAATCGTTCTGGTATAATAAAAGTAAAATATTTAAAATTCAATAATTGATACATGCTTAAATTAATTTTATCGAAGGGAAGAGTTTTTTTTTCCCCCCATCGAAAAAGCTGATTAAAAATAAAAGGATTCCGTAGAACAAATTATTTGATTGTATAGATACATTACCATAAAAGATGTAATTACAAATAAAATACACAAAGAAGTTTTTAAATCGATCAAATAGATTTTTCTAAATCTTTTATACGATTTGAAAAGAAAATGTTTCGAAAAAAAAAAAAGAAAAACGCATTAAAAATTATATTTACTTTATATCACACATATTGAAATATTTCAATGACTCTATCGACTTCCATCTTACTCTTATAATTTGTATGATATTATATTTACTATCTTTTTTATGGCTTTCGTACAACATTATATTATTCTTGATTGTTTGATTTTTTTTACCTTCCAAATCTGAGACTCTTTGCAGTAATTCGATTTAACAATGACGTCTAACATTTTGTTCATGTATTTTTCAATCAACGTTACAATTTCAAATAACAATAAAAATCCTCTTTTAATCCATGTTCCATTTTCGGATATAATCAATTCGTATAAAGTTTGTTCTGCTTCAAAATAAAAAAAAAAATTATTCTTCTTCTGCCATTTTCTTTATCAATATTTCCTATTCGTAGCAGTTAAAATATTATAATCAACGTAATACGTACTTATTATTCAAATCACTATAGATATCTATGAATGAGCAAAATAAATTTATATCGTATATTTTAACATCTAGTGGTCTTATTATCAAAATAATTTTTCGATTCACTTCGAACGAATTATTGTGAAAGAAATGTCGAAAAAACGACAAAAAATGTCGAAAATACGATTACAGTATTGTTATCATCGAATCCACGGCAATAGAAAGTCATGTTTTATTGAAAAACTTTTCCGCGGATGTACTTGTAAAAGACATTGATGTCTTAAACGTGTGAATAATTCTAATAAACTTTCTTTTTCGCGGATGACTAGATCTCCTTTTCTTACTACAATTATATATCTCCTATCCATTTTGAAGAGTTAAAATGATTAGAAAGCTAAACGTATACTGACAACGAAAGCATTATTACGGAAAATATGTTTAAATACATATATATATATTTATGTGTTTTTTAGTTAATGTTGTGTCTGCATGGGTCCTTTTCTATGCACTAATACCTAAAGTATGAAAATTTATACAACTCTCAAAGTTATTCACATTTTCTAAATAATATGAAATGATATTCTTGTAAATTAATATTTTTAATTAATATTTATAGAAAAAATTACAATCCAGATCTGAGAAATAATTCAATGAGAATTCCTCCATAAAGATTGTGTTTCGTGAACGATTTATTGTACTAATATAGGTGGGTCAGTTATTAATTTTTTAGCTATATGGTGCAATTTATTTTTTATATTTTGATGTTGATTTCCATATCAAATATATGCTCTTCTTTTTTTTTTTTTTTTTTTTTTTTTTTAATAAGAATAAAAAATGTATATTTGTATATACACGCGCACAACATTCCATCGCTTATATTGTATTTAGAAAAGAGATTATAATACTATTATCAAAATTTAATTAACTATATTCATGTTGAATTATTACTATTTTCAAAATCATTTTCAAAACAATTTATAGAAATTTTTACTCCAACAAAATGTGTCTTGTTCTAATAAATATTATTTCACATTTAATTATTATATTACGAAATAAATAAAAAATGTATATAAAAAATTTAAATATACACAAATCTCTCATATTTTTCCTGAATTCTTGTATACATTCAAAATATTTACTATCTAATTAATATATGATCAAAACTGAAATCTTACATTAAATCACTTTATTTATATACAATAATGATAATAATTGATTAGCTTTCACTGAATATATTGAAATATTGATTTAATTTCTTAATCGATAAATTCAAAAGTAGTATGATGTATTAATAGATTATAATAATCATTAATTCTAAATTAATACTTGATACATATTCATAAGAAGGAATGCTCTAATCTGTTTTCTATTGATAATTTTATCACTTTAAATTTATCATGTGTAATTATCCAAAGAATAATTTTATAAATTTTAGAATGATTTTATAAATAGCATTACATCTTATGAAAATATGTAGAGTAATGACTGTCCGATGACAATTCTGCAGAATTAATGGACAAATCACCTGTACTGCAAGGGATTGTTGGTATATGTGATCCTTGTATAGTAAAACCATGATAATCTTCTTGACCTATTGATTCAATAGATGATACGAGATTTGCACTAGAAGTACTTGAATTTCCCAACAATATATCAGGTGTATCTTTTTCATGTAATTGAGAATCAGTCATCAATAAATCACATTGTGTATCTAAACTGATTAGACTTGTTTCATCATCTGCTTTACTAACATCTAAACTACCATCGCCAGTGAAAGAAGGAAAATCAAATGTTGGAGACGGTGTAATACAATCATCCATCAGTGAGGTTCTCAAATCAACTGAATTATTTGTCAGTGAAATGTTATTGGATTGGTCATTAACAGGGTGTGAATATACCTGTAAAAATTGTTAAATATTAAATCAATTAAATTTAACTTAATACAACATATGCACATACTCATGTATTTACCTGAGGTATAATAGGCGGTGGTAATTGATAATTTTCGATATTATCTGAATCTAAATTTGTAGGCAATCTCTGACTATGTGTTATTAATAATGGTGATTTCTCAATTGCAGTAGCTACTTTAACTTCTATATCTTCTTTAAATTGTGTCATTCTACATTGTAATTCTTTTGCTTCATTTATTATTTCTAAATTTTTTGCCTTTAATTTATCAAGTAACGTTATATCTTCGCACATCAAGTGCAAGCTCTATAGATCAAATTTATGAAATAAAAAAAAAAAAAAAAAAAAAAAAAAAAGAAAAGCATATTAATAATTATTTTGAATGCAAAAGTTAAGATAATGAATTAAAAAGAAAAAATAATATTTACTTCACACATCATTAGTGCTGATTCCCATGTATTTGCTGGTACTCTTTCTCCTGACATATAAGCGTTAAAATCTTTCTCAGCCATATTCAAAGATTCAGCAGTTAAGTTTTCAATAAATGATACAGCACAGCACTAGAATTTTATCATGAAATAAATTAAAACTATCATGTATTGAACATCATTAATAAAAAATGAATATTATACCAAATTTGTAAAGTAGTATCCCCCTTCTCCTGTCATTAGTCTACTAGCATTACAAAATCTTGTTATGAAGTTTATATTACTTTTAAGTCGTGCAGGATTGGCTTTTAAAACAATAAAAATAAGAGCAGGTAAAAATTCATCTGCAGAAGCTGGACCACCTACAGATTGTTGTAATAATAAAAATATATTTCTACAGCAATAAATAACGCATGCTAACTTTTCCTGTGGAGCTTTAGCAGAATCCATATTTAGTAAATCTAAAAGAAATATTTATTTGATTAATTATCATTAAACTATAAAAAAAAAAATCTATATTACAAACCTGTTATAGATGTATATACAAGTTCTCTAACTTCAGAACTTGTTTCATGAATTCTACATTCTAAATTCTTTCCACTGACCCAATTTAATTGTCTTATTCTGTTACAAATAAAATTTAAAAGAATATACTTTATATTATGTTATATATCATATTCTAATAATAATTTAAAAATGTACTTCAATGTACAAACCTTTTTTGAATTGCTAAATCTTTTTCTTCATCTGTTGTGAACGGTGGACAAAATAAAATTCTGTACAATAATGTCATGGAATATTTTTCAACATAATCTAACAATCTTTCTTTAATATCTGCAGATATATCTGTAAAAATAATTATTTATATTTTTTAATAAAAAATATTTTGAATAATAAATTATATGAATTTAATACCTGTATATTTAACACTATTTTCTAAACGTTTAGCAAACACTTGATAAAAATTCTGTGTTATTTCTGATAATTCCTCTATTCTTTTGATATCTTTGTTCTGAAGGATATCTACTACAAATGAATGTATACATTTTCGTACATCTTTTTCAACTGGTGTTTTCACTATTGAAGCTATAAGATCTCTATTTTCAGCTTTTATTTTTTCAAGATCTGAATTATCCTTTGTTAATTCATAAAGTAATTCTTGGCATCCTTGTACTACAGAAAAAAAAAAGAAAAAGAATTGTTAATAAACAGTAATATTCATATTACTTTAAATAATATATCTATATTATTAATAATATACATTATATATATATATATATATATATTTTTTTTTAAATAATATAATAATAAGAAATATGATGGAAATATATTAAAAATATTACAATAATAAAAAATAATTTAAATATATTACACTTTGATGTAGGCTTTCGAAAAGAAATATTTAATAATTTATATTTCTTTTCTTGTTGAGATTTCTTTTCTTCGTGTTTATGATATCCAGTAGATAAAGTTCTATTAGATGTATCTCTGCAATAATGATAAATAACAAAATAGAATTATATAAAAATCTCATAAGAATAAACGAGAATATTCTTACATGTCGACAGTTTGTAAGTTTGATATATACTCTCTTTGTGCTCGTTGCTTTTGTAAATGTTCTCGATGACATTTGCTGCAATATCCTTCCCATTCTGCATTGCCATAAAAACCACAACCATTTTTACATTTCAAATCCGCCTCATCGATGCGAAGCGAAGGTGTTTTTATAGAATACATATCTTTATTTTTTATTTTTTAATAAAATTGCAAAATTCCATAATTTCTAGAATATATATATTTTATTTGGATTTATATATAGAAATATGATCCGTAACACTTCAATATTACTACGATGTTTTCCTCTCCTGCAAATTGTATGTAAATTAAAAATTAATACCCAAATTATACATAACTAAAATTAATATCATTTTCCACCGGTTATTAAACAGAAATATTAGATAGCAGAAGATACAAATGTCATCCGTTTACTTTTCTTTCCTTGACTAAATTAAAGTTGGCAACACTAATATAAAGTGTATAAAACGAATAATAAGGAACCATCAAAATGAATGCATGTACCATAAATTAAAATTAAAACTATTTATATTTTGCACGTTTAATCGTATATCAATGATTGTTAATTATAAAACATTATTGTAAAGTAGAAAAAAAACATATATACAATGAATTTATTCAAGTATTTCAGTTTTAAATTTATTTTAAGAATTTTACAAATTTATATATCTAAGGTTCTTAAAATTGTATGTACGCTCTTGAGTAAGATAGAGGACATATTCTATCTAGCGTTGTAAAGAGACATTACATTACCCCTCTCATTGCCACTCTACACCTATAGCATTTACGTCACGTGACATGAGTTATGCCTTGCAATACGAACGTGTATCTATAACCTAACCTATCAATATTACTAACCTAACAATTTTTATCCACTAACGTCTAATTTTTCTTTTTTTTTTGTCTGCACGTGTTGCATTCATTTGAAAACATTAAGGTTAGATAGTAGTATCGTATATGACAATTATATTTCAAACATAAAATATAATCTTATTTGTTTTCTTTACTTAATAAAAATGTTATCTGAACCAAAGTTAACCAATACTTCTCCAGATTTTGGAATACCTCCGGATATACAAAATCCTGTAAGATTAAATTTTTATCAATTCAAAAATTATTTTTTGTTTAATATTTAAAATAATTATATATGTATATATATGTCTTGTGTATATTTCAGTTATTACAAAGTTTAGGACTTCCACATGTAGATTCCTTTAATTATATGTTAGAAGATGGACTTTCTGAAGCAATTATAGATATATTACCAGTTTATCTTCAACTTGCTAATGGCGATAAAATTATGTTATGGATAGATAATGTAACGATTCATCAACCATCTGTCCCTACTAATGTAATTGGTGTAAAAAATTATAAAATATATCCTACAGAGTGTAGACAAAGAGGTGCCACTTACAAAGGAAAAATAACAGTTAAATTAGGATGGTCTGTCAATGGCATTTCTCAAGAAATACTCGAAAAAGATTTAGGAGATATACCTATTATGGTTAAGGTATACATTTTAAAAATATTCAATTTGTATGGTTTGTAAAGTTGTCTATAATAGAAAAACTAATTATATAATTTTTTAACAGTCTAATAGATGTCATCTTAATAAAATGAATCCTAGTGAATTAATTGCTCATGGAGAGCATGAACAAGAATGGGGTGGTTATTTTATAATTAAAGGACATGAACGACTCATACGTATGTTATTAATGACAAGAAGAAATTATCCTATTGCAATTCGAAGATCAGGTTGGAAAGCTCGAGGTATCCAATTTAGTGATCTTGGATTACTTTTAAGAAGCGTTCGAGATGATAATACTACATCGGTAAAAGAATTATTATTATAAATATTATTAAATTATTCTAGCTGTATTTTAATTAATTATTATTTTTACATTACAGAATAATACATTACATTATGTTACTAATGGTTCTGTAAAATTAATGTTTACACATAGAAAAGTTTTATACTATACACCTCTCATCTTAATATTGAAATGTTTAATTGATGTTTCGGATATTTTTATATACAATGCTTTAATGGCTGGTTGTGAAGATGATTTATATTATAGAGGTTGTATTTTAAATATGTTACGTGCAGTACATGAAGAAGACTTACATACACATGAACAATGTAAAGCATATATTGGAAAGATGTTTCGAGTTAAATTTTTTGAACTACCTCAAGATTCAAGTGATACAGAAATTTGTGATTTTATTATTAAGTAATTATTATCTTAGTAAATATTTTGTTTATTTATCAATGATATCTATTTGCTTATATATTTATCATTATTATATTTTCAATTTACAGGCATTGCATTGCTATACATTTAGATGATCCATTAGAAAAATTTTATTTACTTGCATTTATGACAAAAAAACTTTTCGCTGTTGCTAATAATAAATGTGCTGTAGAAGGTGCTGATTCTGTAATGATGCAGGAATGTTTATTAGGTGGCCATTTATATTTACAAGTGTTAAAAGAAAAGTTATATGGATGGCTTACAGGTCTTAGGATTTTAATTATGAAACGTGCCAGAAACGCTGATGCTAAATATGTTTTAACATTGCGTAAGTATATTAACACTGTTTATTTCAAATACTTCATTAATATATTTAAAACATAGTTCTGATAATTGTATATATATATATATATATATATATATTAACTTAGAGGAGATGTTACATATAACAAAGTATGGAGGGTCTCTTGAATCACAAATGGAAAATTTTTTATCTACTGGAAATTTAAGAACACCTACAGGTTTAGGCTTAATGCAGACTAGTGGACTTACAATAGTTGCAGAAAATATTAATAGAATGCGTTATATGAGTCATTTTCGTGCAATTCATAGAGGCTCTTTTTTCCAAGGAATGAGAACTACAGAAACCAGACAACTTTTACCTGATGCTTGGGGTAATAATTTATTATGCTTTATAAATAACTTTGTATGAAACTGTTTGGTATCTTTTATATATTCATAATCTTAATTATTCCAGGATTTATTTGTCCTGTACATACACCAGATGGTACACCATGTGGTTTATTAAATCATTTAACTATGAATTGTATTATTACAAAACATCCAAACCCTGAATTAAAAGCTGCTATACCAACAGTATTACTAGATCTTGGAATGTTACCTATTTCTATTGCTGATAATTGGAAAGACTCATATACCGTTATGTTAGATGGGAAATTAATTGGCCTTATTGAAGACAATATAATAAACAGAGTATCGGATAATTTAAGAATACTTAAGATAAAAGGCAAAGAAGTATGTAATTCTGATTAAATAATAGAGAATTATAGTAGATCGGTTTATTTATGTACAAGAACTTAAATCTTAGGTACCATCTACAATGGAAATAGTATTAATTCCAAAGAAAACTGTACCAGCTCAATATCCAGGATTATATTTATTCACTAATCCCGCACGTATGATGAGACGGGTAATGAATTTAGCTGCCAAAAAAACAGAACTTATTGGAACATTTGAACAAGTTTATATGGATATTTGTATCACACCAGAAGAAGCCTATGATGGTGTAAATATTTCTTTAGTATACATTTATTTTTAACCCTTTGAGTGCTGAATACTCGTGGTCTATGCAGTCCGTACGGACGGCGTGCAGCTGGCGCAGACAATTGCCGGGGACTGAATACTTTTTCGCGCAATATGGATCTCGTCGACGGTTTATGACACATTATAATATAGTATACAATCCAATTACTATTCCGTTGTCTATTCCACATTGAATGAAAATATTTTTGCCAGGCGCATATTTGCGTCCATAATCTATCCAGCTTTCGCTGGACGCATATGTGCGCCCATAGCACTCAAAGGTTTAATATGACTATATTGATATTTTTTTTATATATTAATGTATATTTTATATATATATATATATATATATAAATGTATTTTACATTTACAGCTAACTTCTCATCAAGAATTAGCAAAAACTTCATTTTTAAGTAACTTAGCATGTCTTATTCCTATGCCAGACTGTAATCAAAGTCCAAGAAATATGTATCAGTGTCAAGTAAGTCTTCTTACATACGGCTAGAATAAAAAAAAAAAATTAAGATTATTATCAATTAATTATCTTAACAATACAATGATGTATAGATGGGTAAACAAACAATGGGTACACCATGTCATACATGGAAACAACAATCTGAAACAAAATTGTATAGATTACAAACACCAGCAAGTCCTTTATTCAGACCAATGCATTATGATAAAATGGGTTTAGATGATTTTGCTATGGGTACCAATGCAATTGTAGCTGTTATTTCATATACAGTAAGTAATCATAACTATATCGTGATCATTGTAATAATATTTATTAAGATATATATAATTAAGAGATAGTAATATTAATTATTTAGGGATATGATATGGAAGATGCAATGATTATCAACAAAGCTGCTTATGATCGAGGTTTTGCCCACGGAATGGTTTATAAATCAGAATTTATAGATTTAAAAGATCAGAAAAGTTACTTTGCACGAGATCCAAATAAACCTTTTCTTGCAGAAAAGCTAGATACTGATGGCTTGCCTATACCTGGCTCTATGATCAAAGAAAATGATTATTTTTATTGGTAAATGATTAATAATAAATAATATATATTGTCATATTTAAATAACTTACGAAAATATATTACCATATGTTCTGCTCATTATATTATGTTACATTATTATTATTATATTTGATCTTTCTTTTAGTTACTATGATGCTGAACAATCTAATTATGTAACTGGTAAATATCACGGAAAAGAAGATATATACATAGATAATGTAAAATTATGTGGTACTTTAAATAATAATACTCCAAGAAGAGCTTGTATTACATTTCGTATTCCAGTTTGTATAATACTTTATTCAAATATTATTAATTTATTCAATATAATTATAAAAATGCAAGTAAATACTTCTAGAGAAATCCAAGTGTTGGTGATAAATTTGCTTCAAGAGCTGGGCAAAAAGGTATTTGTTCACAAAAATGGCCAGCCGAAGATCTACCATTCACTGAGACAGGTCTAATTCCGGATATAGTATTCAATCCTCATGGTTTTCCAAGTCGTATGACAATAGGTAAACAGGATTAAAAATTAACGTAGTTCAATTATATTTAAAAACAAAAAAAAAACATCTTTGAATCTAAAGTAAAGATTTATTGTTGTTTTTATTGAAGCTATGATGATCGAAGTAATGGCTGGAAAGTCTGCGGCAGTACATGGATTAGTACACGATGCAACACCATTTAGATTTGATGAGAATGAAACAGCAGTTGAGTTCTTTGGAAAGTTATTAGAACGTGGAGGCTATAATTATTATGGTACAGAAAGAATGTACTCTGGTATCGATGGACGTGAAATGACAGTTGATATATTTTTTGGAATTGTACATTATCAGAGATTACGTC